AGATCCCAATGATGAATGTAACTGTACTGTATACCTAAAATGTACCAATAAACTCAAGAAAAAGAAAAGAGAAAATGTGGTATTTATACACAATGGAGCACTACTCTGCCATTTGTAGGAAAATGGATGCATAATATTAAGTAAAAGGAATCAGACATACAAGCTTAAATGTCACTGGATTTCTCTTATGTAAGAAATCCAAAATAAAAGATAGTAGAAAAAAAGCTCTTTTGCAAAAGGAAATGTACCAAGTGATAGAGGCAGAGGGGAAGAGAAGGGGATGAAAAGACGTGTCGTGCACATATACCAAGTCCCCACGAGAACTGTAATCATTGTATACTGCAAACATGTACTAAAAACTCCCGAAAGAATCCTCTCCTAGGGACAGTGATGGGGAAAAAGCATGGTTTTAGCTTTTCCTGGCTCTTCTGAAGTTAGCTTTGGAGCTGTATTTTAGTTCCCTGAAAGGAATGCCCAATTTGGAGTTTTTAGGTCAATAGCGTTTAGTCAATGTTTAGGTTTAAAGAGAGACAAGGGAAATTTGACAACCTTGAGAGGCCCCCAGCATCTGTGCACACGTATTTGTGTGCATGGCCGTTGTGTATTTGTTGGCGGGGGCCTCTTTGTGATCACCGAAATTTCAAGCAAATGGCTTTTAAAACATTTAAATTTTCATTTGGTGTCGTTCCTTGGTGCAGTACTCAGTATTCCATTGTGCATGGTTTGTAAATGCTGATTTGGTGATGTCACAGTTGGTGCCGTCCTCTGATTGGGAGGGGAGATTGCTCAGCACAAATCCTACCCATATCTAAGACCCGAGGTTGTGATGTGGTGCTCTAAAGGCAGAGATACTCACAGGTTGAGAGCAGATGTACCATATATGTATAGTGTTCTCTAAACCTTTTAAAAACTTCTATAAAAGAGGAAGCTCCGTCCATTTACCATTTAAAAATATTGACTCCACTATATACTTTTGTTTTGTATTGATTTCCCTAGAGACTCCGAGAACTTCAGATCTAGTCATAATGTGTCCCAAACTAGCAGAATACACAGTGTAGATGACATCATGCAAGGTCAGATCTCTGGAATGGGTTTTCTTTGAAGTATGTGGGTGGAGAAATATCATTGTTAATGCCTTTTCCTAATAAAAAGACATTATCGCAATATTAATGGCTGAGTTTCATACTGTAATAGGGTTACATGCTTTGCTTAAAATAAACCATCAGATGGTCTGGTGCTCAGGCCTCTCAGGCTTTTCTGGGGGCAGGATGATGCAACTTTCACTTGAGCGTAGCCAATGCGGACCAGGCCATGCCGAGAGTGTCCTCATGTTGGAGAGGCTTTGAAGTTCTGAGGAAGGAAGCGTTGTAAATTAAGTCCAGTTAGTACTTTATTTCCTTTTCCGCTGATTACTTCAAACAAGTAAATAAGGACAGGGCCTTAGGTGGCGCTGGCATCCTCCCAGATGGCTTTCCCCAGCCTGTCTCATTGTGTGCCTGGGGGGTAGGGGTCCCCATTGTGCACTGGCTGGAGGGCAGCCAGTGGACACTGTGGCATTGCTGTGGCGTTGAGAGGATGCTTAGCTGGGAAGTGCATTGCTCTGCACTTTGCAAACTGGTGGGCTTTGTTTTAAATATTTACTTCAAGGTTCAAAATGAAGAGATTTCTGGGTGGGGTGGGGCACAACTGTAGTCCCAGCACTTGGGAGGCAGAGTTCAAGGCCTGCCTGAACTTCACAGAGACCCTGTCTCAAAATAAAGAAAAAATGATGAAGAGTTTTCAATTTAGCCAATTGGAAACTGTGGAAATGTAGACAGTGTAAATGAAGCTTTGAGGAAAATATAACTGTATGTGGGGGAGCACTTTGGGGAACAAACTGTCAGTGATTGGACTCTTATTAAGTGCACACTCTGGGCAAGGCCAGTGTGCCCAGTCTGGGGGTTCAGAACATAATGTGTTTGGGTGCTCTCAGTTAAAGAGGATGGCAGCCAGTGAGCATATAGCTTCAGCAAGGTAAAATGAATTCAGAACAAATGGTGTCTGGGAGAGCCAGAGAAGATAGAAAACAGATTTAGCCTCAGGTCTCAGAAGACTTTGGAGGAGGAATACTTGAATCACTTCCTGAAAAATGAGGAATTAGCCAGAAGAGGAGCAGACAAGAGCATTGCAGAGAGGTGCAGTCTGAGCAGAGGCGGGGTGCTCTGGAACAGTACAGGGTGCGCTGGAGGTTTGGATGTTTGGGCCCGTGGTTAGGGGTGAGTGGCACTGTCATTCCCCGTACTGCCGCAGAAAGCCACAGCTTTGCCCTCCCTCAGGTGCATCTTCTGGACACCAGAGAAGTTTGCATCTGGACAGCAGCCCTGACCTCAGGCCACCTAACAGCTCTCGTTGCTGACCAGATGAAGTCCCTGAGACTTTATCTTCACCTGACCTCTGCCCAGCAACCCCAAAAGGTTTGCATCTGGACAGCAGCCCTGACCTCAGGCCACCTAACAGCTCTCTTGTTGCTGACCAGATGAAGTCCCTGAGACTTTATCTTCACCTGACCTCTGCCCAGCAACCCCAAACTTGATGTAGGACCTAAGCTCACTCTTCCTTTCCTCCCCTTAAGCCTGTCTTTGGCAGAGAGAACCCTGAGCTCAGGGCACACAGGTGCTGTCATCTTCCCTCCCTTGTCACCTGGCTCTCCCCTCTACATCTGGAGTGAAGGCAGAAGGGTGCTGTCTACCATCCCCTTCCACCTACCCCATCAGGGACCTGTCCGTGGTCCCATGATTCTTGGTTTCTGTCTTTATCACTGCTCTCATCACTCTGTTTTGTAATTATTATCTCCTTACGGTTAAGATTCCTGCTGCTGCAACCATGAGCTCCTGAAAGAACCGTAACTTTTTCATGCCCGAACTCTTGGTGCTTTGTGGAGTTAGTGAGTGAGTGGATACAGCCATGCCTCTCATGGACCCGGAATTCCTCCTCTTTATTGTCAGAAACAATGTTCTTCCTGAGTCTGCCTCACCCCAGCCCTTACCATGTTCCTGGCATCTTTCCCTCTGGGCTTCCCTCTTCTCTTCTGCTGACAAAACCCTCCCTTCTGCCTCCTTCCCCTCCCTGATTTACTTATCAGAGACTTTGCCTCAGGCCATAGTCATACTTGATTTCATAATAACTTCAGGAGGTAAAGATGTGTATAGGTGTGACTGAAATATGTGGTGAATGTTTAAATAAAAAGTATTATAGTAAAAAACACATTAATATAATCCTCCTTATTTTGAACTCGTCCCATCATTCTTGGCCCATTCTGAAGCAGTTCTGAAAGTTTTTTATGTGCATGACTCTATAAGGTGTGATCAAATACTGTGAGTGCTGCTCCCGAGTGCCCTTCGGTCGAAAGCCAGGCTACTAAGAACATTACAGTGTGTGGTCCATCATTTACCTTCTTCACTGCCTATGGAACTGTTCAACCTCTGGCTCTGCCCCAAAGTCAAAATGATCATGGAATGTAGAGGTTCTAAAACGAGTCAAGCATTGAGATATATACTGCAACTAAAGACACTCATGAAAGAGGACTTTCAGAATGGCTTCAGAAAGTGGCAAAAAAATGGGCTAAGTATTTGAAGCAAGGGGATTTAGTGGCAATGTGCATTTTACTATAATACCGTTTTTAAAAATTTAAATATTCACTGTATTTTTCAGTCATACCTTGAATATTACACACATTTAGAGTAGGAATGAATGCACTGTTAAGTAAATTTCCCAGTGTTACCCAGCTGGTGAGTGGCAGAGCTGTGCTTTGAACACAGATGTGTGCTCCTCTCTATAAGCTCTTTTCCTTCTCAGTAAAACTTTGATAAATCAGATGATGTTTTTCTTGCTAACCAAGCCATGCGATGAATTGTTTTGTATAATTTAGAAATGAATCCTTAATTTACTTGTTCTCATAACTTGGATTTTTCTGGCTGATTTAATTGGATGTGCATTGGCTATAAAACTGAGTGAATTTCATTTCAAAACAAAAATTGATTCTCTAGATGTAGTTGTTCTAACTACAAGTTAACTTTAGTGTAATCTGTGTCACTGGTTAATTTCTTCTATGAAGAGAGGTTTTAGTGTTTGAAAGTATGGAATGGATGTTTTCCTTTTATTCCACCAAAAGGAAAAACAAATTATCTTTTAGGCTAAATCTAGTAAGGGACAACTGGCCAAATACTACAGTTAAATGATTAAATGGTAGAAAATATTTTTCTAGGCCTGTAGGGTGTGGCAGGAATGTGCTTGCATCCTGTCACTTACTCATTTGATTCATTATTTTTATCATTAGGCTTCATCTTTCCCTCCTCCCACTTTTCTGTAGCACACCATAACCTCTCTGAGCTCATTAAATGAATATAGCTACCTTAGAAATAGAGAGGAAACTTCTGTATTGAATGTGTCAGTGTTTAAATATGGGAGTTCCCCCTGTAATTATGTTAAAAACTTTTCCTTTTACAATGAAAGATAATGAAAACCTCCTTAAATTTTTTCCATCCATGTCATTTTTGTATTTTGTATATGGACATTAAAATAAATGAAAACTTGACATCATCAGCTGGCATTTTTAGTATCATGTCCTGACACTTATCTTTTAAAAATATAAGACATGTTTAGGGATAATGATTAGTATGTAAGGAATTTAGAAAAGGAGGAAGCAGTTTTGGTTTGAAGGAATTGATTTGGGGCATTTTAGTTTAGATAATGTTAGGGCGTTTCTGGAGTTTTTTTCTCCCAACAAATGTACTATCAAGTAACATTACTATTTTAGTGATTATTGTTACTATGAGAGTTTACTGAAGTAGCATATATAGTAGTCGAAGAAACTGACTTATTATTTCCTTTACATTTAAAAAAATGTATTTTTATCAAATCTGCTGAAGAATTATTAATATATTTTTGCATCAATTAACATTACTTAAAGTTTAGGCCAAATGTGAATGTCAAGGTTCAAAATTGAATTGCCAAATGTTCAGAATGAATAAGTCACCTCAAGATGATTGTAGATGGTCTTACCTTCAGTCCCTAGAATACCCGAGGGCTTAGGGAGAGAAATGAAGTTGATGGGTGAAACTTGAAAGCTGCCAGAGTATGTTTCTGGGTGGTGCCTGCTCTGATTCAGAAGAACTCACATTCGTGGGTTCCACTGGGGTGCTGTACTTGATGGCTTGCACATGCCCGCATATCATCCGCATTGGTATCAGTTTGGGTCCTCATGAGTGTGGAAGGGTTTGATCATGTTGTGTCCCTGATCGAGGCCTTGGATTCTATCGGGGCGCAATCTCTGCTGCTGAGAAGTGCAGGTGGGGTAGCACCAGATACTCTGCAGGTTCAGTGCTTATGCCAACAGACTTTTGAAACATTGTAAAGTCTGTTTAGAGCTCATGGATCCAGCTCGTCTTCCTCCTCCTGTAAGTGAAACTCCAGCTATGAAACTATGTTTTCACTGTCCTTTCTCTTGCAAACCACACCAGTCCCTTACTACACATTTGCTGAGTCTGTGGAAAGAAAAATAAGCTATTTTATTATTTCTTATTCAACCAAGAATCCTTAAAATTCCAGTGACTGATTCTTTCTATAAAGAACCATGATTTGAGAAACACGATGCTGTCTTTAAATATGGAATAGATGTATGACTAAGGTAGCTTATCCTACCATAGAGATCTGTGTTCTCTGGTTTTTGGTGATTGGCAAAGACCTAAATCTTCTCTCTTTTGTCTTTTTAGTCCACCATATATGGTACGAGCATCTTTGCCTTTTGGTGTTCCGTGTCATTCATTTTCTTTCTTCTCCCTGCTCTACCCTCAAAAGAACTCCTAGAAAATATCTCATAAACAGTTTTACACTGAGGTATAAATGGATAAGTTTACACACATTATTCAATCTAGAAATGTTTTATTAGGTGGCAAAAGCATACACTGTGGGTTTCTAGGAGTGATCTAAAGAGGAAGATACGTATGAGACAGAACTCAAAGTAGAGTTTTCACCATGGCTTGTGGCGGGGATCAATTTACACCCACCCATCCCTTTTGGAATCTAAAATTCTCTAATATGGCAAGACCAAGGAGAGATTTATAGTCTAATGTACACTCTCTTGTTAATGTAGAACAGTGGTTTTCACTAAGGCTGGGTGCTGGACTTGCAGTAGATGCTTTTCCAGGCCTCAGCTTAGATCTAAAGGCTGATAGGAGGAAGCTATCATGTCATTCATAAAGATATATAGAATCTTAATCCAGGTTAAATTCATTGTGGGTTTTGAGACTGTTTCAGTGTGCTCTATGACTTCACTGTTTCCTGACAGTGACGAATCAACATTATTTAGTTCACCTGTCAGGTTTTTTTTTTCATGAAGAAAGTTGTACTGTGACCTTTCTAAAAGATAAATATGGAGAACTTGGAGGAGTTCTGGAGTATGCCCAGAATTTGTAACTTATCTATGGGGAGAAACTGAAAACAATATAGTGTTTAATGTTGGAAATCCTTTAAATGATCATTTATGGAGAAATAAAGAGTAGCCTGGAAAGTTCAGTCTGGAAGGTTAATGTATGTTTGGGGCTAAACACTGCAAAGAAAACAATACAGCTCTTTACTGAATCATGTATTACAGCCTTTGGTGTCATCCTGTTGACATTCTGAGGTTGCTGTCAGGACAATGGAAGCCTGGCTTTCTGATCTGTTCCTGAGTGCTGTATTAACAAGTCACTAGAGCCTCTCTCCACCTATTAATTTGGATTTAAATGGAGGTAATACTTATATGTAACAGGTTGTGACATCCTTGGAAAAAAGGAACATAGTCCTCAGAGTTTGTCTTGTTTCTTTATTAAGTCATACTTCAGTTTTGAAAGAAACCCATAGGTATTTCTGTTGTGTGAGAGTTACTATAGGCACTTGAATTTTATTCAGATGTACAGCTGGTGGTTTTTCTTCAAGATGCTTAAACTAGATTAAAAGGTCTATTTTATCCTCATCCCTGAAGTCCAGCTTCATCTTGTTTGAAGTCATTACCTGCAGTGCACAGGAGCATAAAGTCACTGCTTTCTGGTACCCAGGATCTGTCTGTGTGCAGTTTACTTAATCCACTTTAGGATCAGAGGCTATAAATGTAAAGGGAAATGAAACTGAAGGGAAAAACTGTATTTCCATTTTCACTTTTAAGTCTGCAGGGGTTGGTGTTGGCGCTCCCAAAGATCATGCCACTTTGGTTTGTTGTTAACTGTGTTGGAACCACCAGCCTCCTTCCGTTTCGGGCTGTCTTTCTGAAGTGCAGTGTTCTGTGACCCAATGCATTTTATGAAGGGGGTGTGGAGAAGGCTGATTTAAATGGTGCAATTCTAGCTGAAACCGAGTTTTCTGTGAAGTTTGTGAAAGGGATTGTATTTTCAGTATGACTTACACTAACTTTTTTACCTCTGTTCTTGCTCTTTAAGATCCAGCAGTGGGAGCAGAATCTGGAGAAATTTCATATGGATCTGTTCAGAATGCGTTGCTACCTGGCCAGCTTACAGGGTGGGGAGTTACCAAACCCCAAGAGCCTGCTTGCTGCCACCAGCCGCCCCTCCAAGCTGGCCCTCGGCCGGTTGGGCATCTTGTCTGTTTCTTCATTTCATGCTCTGGTAAGTTCCAGGGGAAGATCGTGATTGCTCCCCTTTCTCTGGTTCTCCCCTTTCTCAGTTCTGCCTGTACGTACCCTAATAACTGACAGGGGTCCCCCAGAGGCTAGATGTGGATCGGGGGAGGAGACGGCAAAGAGTTCCCAGATGTTTCTCCACTACTGGCTCCAAGAATCTAGCTACTCTGGGCAGTTACTACATATTCAGGTCTGTGTCTGCCTTCCTGCCTTTCCCTCCTCATAATGGTAGTCAGGATGCCTCAAGAGGAATAGCAGCAGTGCTGTGAAGATTGAAAAGGTGAGAAGCCTGCTTAACCCATACTCCAGAGAGCTTCTTGGGGTTTTCTGAAATCACTCCTAGGTTGGTGGCTTCTGTGTCTTGAACCAGCTTGGCCTTGGAGCCTGCAGGTTGTTTTGCTGACCCTGTTGCCTACTGTAGTGAGATCTGAATGCTGTGGCTGGGTTTGTGCATCTAGAGAAGAGATGTCTGTATGGTGGGTGCATTTCAGGTATATCAACATGCAGGAGCCTTTAACACTGATCACAATGTATTTATAGCAAGAAGAGCTTATTTTTGGTTAGGGTAACTGTTCTCTCTATCACCCACAAAATACACTTTAAGATTTTTTAAAACTGTGTTTTAAATTAGGTATGTTCTAGAGATGACTCTGCTCTCCGAAAAAGAACACTTTCCCTGACACAGCGAGGGAGGAGCAAGAAGGGCATATTTTCTTCCTTAAAAGGGCTAGACACCCTGGCAAGGAAAGGGAAGGAGAAGAGAGCTTCCGTCACTCAGGTGAGTGTCAGCCTGGGCGGAACAGCCTGGAGTGACTTCCCCGAAACTCACTCTTTTCTTCCTGCTGCAAACCAGTGAAGTTCATCCTTTAAGGGTGGAATGAAAGTTGTCCAGGAATCAAAGTGGTCCAGCCTTACCGTAACCTTTTGCCCCTAGATGAAACACACAAGTTGCTCTGTCTGCTCTGGCAGGCCCAAAGAGTCAGGCACACCTTTAGCAGCATTCAGGAACACAAAAAAATCAGAATTTCTAGAAAGTAATTTATATCACTTTAGTACTTTAGTCCCATAGTGATTATATTAAAATAAATGTGGAAAATTAATAATCATCAGAAACTGCAGCTAAATTCTGTTGATAGTGCTAGATATTTTTGCTTACCCAGAACCTAAAATATAAAGCAGGTAGTTTGTCAGCCCCTTACCTGATAAGAAGGTGACACTCAGGGAGCCGAACCTTACCCTTGCTCACTGGCACCTGAGCTGCAGGTCTGGGATGCTCATCTGCCTGAGTCCAAAGGCCAGAGGTGCTGGACAATTGCTGCTGCTTATTTTCCCTTGAGAGGGTGACAGGTTTCAGTATTTTGACAAGAAAAAACCAGCTTAATCATTTATTGCTAAAATATAGTTCAAATACAGTGAATTATGTTCAGAACAGTTTCAATATGCACATCTAAAGTATTTCATAATGCTTTATAATATAGTTTATATTAATACATTTTATCTTGATGATTTTTAATATTAGGATTATTAATTTTTTAAACTCAAAAAGATAAAGTTAGATGATCTGGTCATATAAGTGAACAGGGAAAATGTTTGCCATTAAGTCCAAAGAAATACTTATATTTATTTTCAGTGGGTTGCTATTATTCTGAATGTGCCCTCAGTGTTATCTGAGAAAATCATATTTCTCAAACTTAATTTTCTAATTTGTATATGACTGTTTAATTGTGCGAAACACTTTTATGAATTAGATGACTAAAGGCCTAGTATCAACATTTTTGACCTATTGTAACAATAAAGTTAGAGGTGGTGAGAAGTGGGTTGGTTGAAAGGCAGCAAAAATGCATGATACATTTTTGTTTTGACTTGTTTTACTTTGTTTTGTTTTGTTTTATTTGAGACAAGATCTCACTATGTAGTCAGGCTGGCCTTGAACTTACTACGTAGCCCAGGCTGGCCTCGAACTGATGTTAATCCTCCTGCCTCAGCTTTCTGAGCACCATGCCTGGCTCTGCATGAAACATTTTTTATGTGGCCACTGCTCTTGTTTATTCTTATGCAGAAAGAATAGCACATTTTAAAGTTATAGTACATATATTTTAATTTCGTTGTAAACAGTAATCATCTGTTAGTTATAAATAGAAACATTTTCATTATAGACCGTTGCCAACTCTAAATGATTGGTTAATGCTGAGCCTTTGCTTTCTGAATTGAACTTTAGGATATTTAAGATCTTTAACCAATTCTGACTTTAATCAGCATAGCCAATTCAATGTAACTGAGTGATAACTTAATAAATAACTTGAGAACTTGCTTATTTTCTTAGATGTAAACAGCTAATTACCTAGCATATGTGGTAAATGTTCGCAGAAGAGAAGATTTCTTGGTAAACAAAAGCATTTGGTTGAACATTTTTTTATTTAAAAGACATGAAACCAATTACAGTGTTAGTATTTACATAATGGAATAAAATTGATTCAGTAGGTATTCCTAAATGCTTAAAGGTCTTAAATGTTAATATTTTATAAAATTTACAAGATAAAATTTGGAAAATGATTCCGCACCTCTCCAAACACACCACTTTTAACATTTAGCTATCTTTTCCTCCAAAATTTATTCTTTGCACATTAAACATAATTATAAGCTTGATTTTTGATGACTTTGCCAACTCTGAGATCTGTTCAGCATTTTAGAAATGCTGCTTAATTAAAAGCAGCATCAGGAAGTTTCAGAATAATTTGAATAATAAATGGCATCATAAAAATGTTAAATATATGAAGAAAGCAACTTCAAAATTTTGTGTTAGAGCATTAGTATAAATTATGAAATAAAGGTCTTATGAAATGTAACAGTTTTAAAATACTGAAAAAGGTTGGGTGCCAAATGAACATTGCAGTCATTTCATTAGTCTTTTTCCCCCATATCTGTCAGATATTTGATTCCAGTTGCAGCCATGGATTTTCTGGAACTCACTTACCTCAAATCTCCACTAACTCCAGTGAGGTAAATTTGACTATAGGCGGCAGCCATCTTGTTTTACATTGGTGATACAATGTTTACGTAAAGAATGCTGATTCAGAATCTTTCATTGAAAATAAATTTAGTCAAAATGGTCTCTGTTCTCTGAATGCCAAGTAGTTTTGGAGGTATCTAAACTTATAACATCATCTTAAATTTAGTGATATGACTGAAGTCATAATAGTTTCTTTTATTTATACTTCTCTGTTCCTGAGCAGCACTTGCCTTCATCTGAAGTTTAGTGAGTCCCAAGTTGTATTTTCTCTCATGACTCACTCTTGGGGGTCTTTTCATAGAAGGTGCTTTCTGTGCTGTGTATGAGCAACCTTTGTATTTCTAGGCACTCTTGGTGTCCATCCTTGGGGGAGCTGAACATTATCTCTTTTCAGTCTTCATAATTTCTTCTGACAGAAAAAATCTTCAGAACTGTTTCTAAATGAAGTTCTGGGGCTCAGGTGAAGATGTTTTGATTGTTCTTATACCTCTTTTCTGAACTCACTCCTTTCTTTCTGGGGGGGGCGGTACCGGGGATTGAACTCGGGTCCTTGCGCTTGCAAGGCAGGCCACCGAACCACTGAGCTAAATCCCTGGCCATCACTCCTTTCTTATAAAGCTGTATTTCATGTTACTGGTGTATTTCTTTAAACCCTGCCTCCCATTATTTTGTCTTCAGTTTTGTATCTAACCTTTGAGCTCCTTTTTGAAGTTGAAAAATCAATCATAATGGGCTTGGGCAAACAACATGCTTTTATAGAAAATGGCAATATTCTTTAATGGATTAGGAATTTCATTTGAAAATATTGAGGACTAGTGGAGCATCAGACACTGTGACAGGATGGAGGGGACAGAACTGACAAACTTTCCAGTGATCCTAAAATATATAGCACAGACAGCTGCATATCCTGCCTCCAGTTGAGGCTGGCACCCACGAGGTCAGTGTGCCACCATCGTTGAAATTGCTCCTGAGTAGCAACTCAGCCTGAGGTCCTGCTTCCTGTAGGACAAGCCCCAAACAAGTTAGGAAATCTGCCCCAAACCGTTCTCCACCTCAGCCCCCATCCCCACGGTTCAGGGCTGCCAGAGAGCATGCTATGTGATGGAGTACCTTGTCCCACCACACTGTGTCACTGAAGTCACACATTTTGTGCTCCCCTTTTGCTGACTTGACCACGGAGGCAGGGTGGTACGCAGGGCTAGGAAGCCAAATCCAGATCTTCCCTTTTATCAATCATGGCATCAAATCTGCAGATTTTTCATAATAAATAACCCTTTCCCAACTCCTTTGTTCTTTTATACCTGTGGCAGCTACTCAAAGTCCAGGTGTGGCACACCATCCTCCAAGGACCTGGCTTGATTGTATCAGCGGATCTCGAGTCACAGTTATTTGCTTGGTTCTTACTGTATCTTGCCTTTTACTATTTGTCATCCTACCATGTGTGTGTTGTGTTCCCCAGGAAAGCTTGTAAGCAGGACCTGGGTCTGGACAGTCTGAATACCCTCAGGTGATGTGTATATTTCAGATCTATAGCACACTGTAAAGAACATAATATCCGCTTAATCTTACTATTAATTGTTTATATTAGATGTTGTCTCTTACTGGTTGAAAAAAACCATCTGATCTCAATGATTGAGAAGAACTGTTTCACCTACAAGGAAAGCTCAGAGTTCTGTGATTGTTTTTTTTCAAGAGCATTATGTAAACACTGCGATTCTTACTTTAAAGGTTAAGAAATGATATTATCAGAACATTTGTTGTTAGCAGAACTTAACAGAGGACTTTGACAATGAGTTGTGTTTATTCAAATTGGGTTCAAGTTAAACATCATCTTGCAGTTTAATTGACAAATTTCAACAGAGCTATAAGAGGTGAGAGGAAGCTGTTACTACATCTGTTTTATAAAGCATCTGTATCCATATAGTTATTCTTCTCTGCTTTAACTAAGCATCTATTCTGGTATAGGGATCCTGAAGATGCTTCTTTTGTTTATTGGGACTGTCTTAGTGGTGCCTCTGTTGTTTCTGTACCGCAGAACTCAGATAACCAGGTTCCAATTGAATTGTAGCTAGAACTGAAAGTGTCATTTATTTATTTTTTATATTTTGGGACCTCTGCCTGTGGCTGGCTGGATAATATTTCACTACTTTCCTCTGCTAATCACGCTTGAAGAATATTTATAACCTCCACAAACCATCTATTTTTATACAGTAAGTACATTCTGTCCATTCAAGTAGCTGGAAAGGCTGTTGTGAGGGAGGAGCGGGGCACATTTTTAAATATTCCATTTTAATTGGTTCACATAACAGCCCAGCAGTGAGTCACCCTAATTTGAAATCTGTTAAGTCTGGAATAAAGCCAGTCTTATTTGAGTGATTTTTTTTTTTAAAGGACACCTTGGCTAGCCAAAAATGAAAGCTTTTCATAGCCTCCTCCTTGATGAGTAATAATGAGTCTCACACAGAGTTTGGCGGGAGGTGTTTGCTATGGAGATTGTGACAACAAATCCTGGTGGAGGCTCAGGATGGCAGCTGCTTCAGAAGCTCCACTACAGACCTCATGGCAGCCCTGGGTCTTGGCCCTCTGTCCTGGAAAACTGGCTTAGGGTGTCCTGACTTTCTGTGGCAGCGAGTGAATGAAGTATTGTCACCTTAGTTATTAGCTACAAACTGGAAAAAAAAAGTCCCCTTACGCTGGTTTCGCAAATGGAAAATGTAAATGAAACAACCAGCTCTTGACCACAGCATGGCCTGTTTAAATACAGGTACAGTGTATACACACACACACACACACACAAACACACACACACACCCCTGCTAGCCGGGTCTTTGTCTTCCCTTCATACAGCTGATATTAGGGTGTTAGCCCAAGAAGGAAGTAAACACTTTCTACTCTCTGACGTTTTACTGTGAAGAAAACCAAGAGCAGATAGCTCCTTTTGTGTTGTCTCCTCATCTCACTTGCTAATAGACTTTGCTTTTATCAGCAACTGTGGTGGTGTGGGCCCATTTTTGACAGCCAGATTGTGATTTTGCTACTCACTTCCCTTCAGTGATCCAAGTAGTAATTATGAGCCATTTGATCTGAAAGCATCTGCTGTGAGAACACCCAGAGTTTCCATTTTCTCTCCGTACGGCGTACCAAGCATAAGTAATTTGACATGTGGTTCCAGGACCATTAATGTAATAATGACAATAATAAATGCTTCTGAAGAAGTTGCCCCACGAGGACAGCTAATGCAATTTGCAGATGTTAACTGGTTGGTGTGTTGTGGCTGTGGCTGTGGTTTATGGATGTTCCTGCTTTGTGAATGGCCAGTGGGAGACAGACTATGAGGTGATCTAGCCTTAGCAGCCCCTGAGGTGCCCCAGGTTTGGGGGTGAGAGGTGATTCTCAGCAGTTCTCAGCAGTGGCCATTGCTGCACTGTGGTGATTATGTTTAGGAGAGGATAGTGCCACTATCCAGGCTGATCTTCAGAAAATCATTGCAGCTTATGTTTTTCAAAGGCCGTTTTTCACACCTGTCTCCGAGCTTCCCTGTGAGGCTCCTGTTTTCAGTCTTTTTAAAGGTGCAGAAATGGAAATGCTGAGATAGTGGGTAACCAGGCAGGCCGAGCCTAATAAGGCAAGTGCTGGACCCAGGTTTTCTTTCTGGTATTCTATTTTTGCTGCCTCCATTTGTATTTTCTAGGGAATAGAAACCTTGAGTAAACAACAGGACACTTTTTGGAGGCATGGAGTTGAGGTAAGGTGGGGTGGACGAGGAGGGTAGGGTATGTAGGAAGCAATCTTGACCAAAGTAGTTAACGGTGGAATTCTAGATGAATGGTTACAAAGATTAATTTAACATTTCACCTTTGGAAAGGATATACAAGGAAAAGAATTCTCAATGTGGGCCAGTTTTTTGTGTTTATTTTCAAATTTTTTCTGTTCCTTTTATGAAAAGAGTATAGTAGAATATTGTATCTGGTTTATTGAAATTAAAACATGTATTTTCTGCTTGAATTACAATTGAATTTCCTTGAGGGAATCAAAGCTTTTTCTCCAAAAGGACAAAGCTTATAATAGCCTAAGACATTTTATAAGCCCCAAATAATTTTTTTCTTATTCTAATTAGTTAATTCCACATTCCTGATGCTTTTTTGTGGTAGCTAAGTTTTACTTTTCTTGAATTGTGTGCATTTCTGGGATGTGTGTGTTTCAGCAAAATTATGTCTAACTTTTCCTTGTCCATTGTCTTGAAGAACATCTTAATCATTGATTGCCTTGGCTTTATAGGCACCTTCTCTTCTGTCGTTGACCAGATCTCAGGTCAACAATGTGGGCTCAGGAAACGATGCCTCAGAACAGTTGTAGGTACAAAGCCATTTTTAACTGAATGTAATAGGAATATTTCTTGGTTTTTCCTTCCATCTCTCTATTTATCTTCATAGTTTCCTCTTTTCCAGGTCTTGTTTCCTTTTAATAGTGAGTTTATTTCTCTTGAAACTTTAGAAGCATCAAGAACTTGACACTATAAAAACAGAATTGAGCTGGGGATTTAGCTCAGTGGTGCTGCCGCCTACCTCACAAGTGAGTTCAATCCCCAGTACAAAAAAAAAAAAAAAAAAAAAAAAAAAAAAAA